TGGTCCCACCTCCTGCTGCAGGTACTCTCAGCAAGAACCACTTGTCAGCGTCTGGCAAGGAGCGGGGTGGGTTTTACGCCAGCAGGAGGGGCTGTGGCAGGAGCCTGTGAGCAAATGCACACATTCCTCCAGCGCTGGAGGGCTTGAGAGTAACGGGGGAAGAGCCCAGGGGCGAGCCGGTGTCAGAGCATGGCTGTATGCAGTGTGGGTAGTGCTGGTGGGAAGCAGCTGCCAACACCTGAAGCTCACCCCTGCGTGAGACCAGGGCTCTGCCCCCCAGCACCACTCTGGAGCTCCAGACAGAGCTGAGGCTGGAGCCCAGGTCTGACTTCTGTGACGCGCCACTGCCAGCATGTCCCTGGAGGCTGCTCTTAGAGAGGCACTTGCGTTCTCCCACGGGAGATTTTTAAGCCACTTTCAGTGGGAAATGTTCGTGCTGTTCCCATTTAAAGTGTCGTTTTTCAGCTCTTCAGTTCCAACAGCACAGAATTGCGTTTTCAGTCCAAACAAAAGCAAGATACTTGTTTTGACACATGTGGCAGAGAGGATGGTATTTTTTTTCCTTTGGAATTGATGGGCTTTTCTGTCGTAAAGTCTATTAGTGCAGACAACTGGGTAGCGTGGCATGGGCACATGAGTGGAAAGCTGGAGCGAAGCCCGGGGAGACTCCGCTCTCCTGGTTCCCACTGGGGAACTGCAAAGTGCGTTGCGGCCCCCGCGCAGGGAGCGCAGCCTCTTGGCTGCCGGGTGACTTGCTTTGCTCTTCCCCCCAGGGCCTGATCCCTTCCTGCAGCCCTTGGCAGCAGCTGGAGGAAACGTTCATCCTCGGCTGGAATAACTGAGTGCAGATGGTTCCCCAGCCCCTGCACCCTGAGCCTCCCTGCTGCTTCCCCCTCCGGCTTCCCATGGACCGGAGAAAGCCCCAGCCTGTTCCTCTGGCGGGAGGGAGTGTGGGAAGCATCTCCTGGCGAAACAGCATCGCTCTGGGGGGCAGCGAGCTGTGGTTTTATGCTGTGATCTCAGGTCCTTGCACTTGTGCCTCAGTTTCTCTCCGTGGGAGGAGCATGGGATGAGGCATACCTACTCCAAAGGGCTGGAAGGATGAGCGCCTCCCTCAGGCTGTGCTGTGGCGCTAGGGCCGTGCTGGGAAGTACCTGACCAAGCACACGCTGGTTCCTGCGTAGCTGCCAGGGCCGGTTTTGGTGCTGTACAGCTCCTCTGCTGCCTGGCTGCAGGAAGGGTTTGTGTTTGGGACCCCCTGGAGCCGTGTGCCGGCCCCGGCAGCCACCAATTGCGGCTGGCTCGTGGAGATCCTGGTGCTGAGGCGCAGGGGCAGACCTGTGCCCCTCGCCCCCGGGCCTGGCGGGGCCGCACCGTGCCAGCTGGCCGGGCCCCGGCTCAGGGTTGCTCCTGTCCCCGCAGCGTGTCTGCCTGCAAGCTGACGGACGAGGCCTGCTTCATCCTTTACGAGTTCTGGCAGGACGTGACTTCGTGGAGAAGGTTCGAGGTTTTCCTTGCACGGGGCTGGGTCGGGATGCTCGGGGGCA